TGACTTTACAGCAAAACTCTGTTATTCCCTTTGAGTCAAAAGAGTTCTAGGGCAGTCCACACAAAAGGAATGTTGCACTTGAATCTTTAAAGAAAAATAGCTTAAAGACTTAAAGTTGTTTTATAACAGAAAATCGTCTACAGGTTTTCTTTTAATGTTACGTAAACAATGAAATATTACGTAAAAGAGAGAGGAAAAAAAAAAACAAGGTTGGGTTCGATAAAGATTCTCAATACATGACAGACTTAAAGGGTAAATTCAATAGCACGTAATAATGCCGACATGGCCTTTACTTTGGTTTATAAAGATTTGAAATATCATGCTAAAACATGATAAAAACGTGCGATTAAGTCACGGCACTGTGTGCAAGTCAACATAAAACCCTGCAAAGCGGTTCCAAGCCGCAGATTAAGACTTGGAGAGATTTAGAAACTGCAATGTCTCTCCCGTACAATAAACCTGGCGCAAAGGTACGGAAGCACGTTTGCGTCGTGTTTCTTACTCTTTATGCTTTGAACATTTTCCCCATTCACATTATTAAGGCTACTCAGTCTGATTTTTTTGTGAAGAGACGTCAACCAAATGACAGCATCAAGATAGCAAAATATGGTGAAAAGACGTTCAGCATTTCGGAAAGTCCGCAAAAAGCTCGTGGTGGTATGGAAAATGCAACCTTAAAACAGAAAGGATGCAAGCAGGCCAGTCACTACGGCAGTCATTTGTCTGCACCGGAAGAGCGTCGCGATGCTAAATCTGACCACCATGTTAAATTGAGGAGAAAGCTGTCTGGAAGGGGAGCGGTTTTGCTTGTGAACACAAAGACAGGAACACACGGTCAAACAGGATGGGCATCTAAGGAATCGGTGAGTCAAAGCAAACGTCAGTCACAGCCGGCCAGTTCAGTGGTTAAAAGTGCCAAGAGAAAAGACATGCCAAGTTCATTTTCAAGGGGTCGGGCGTTCATGGGTAGCATTTATGTTAATGAAAGTGCGAGGAGTACATTTTTATTGGTTGTGGGACAGACACTCAAAAAGATTGACGAAAATCAGCCTTGGGTGAAATGTCCAAACCAGAACTCTGTTAGTTCTCATTGTAAACCGAAAAAGACTAACCGACAGAAGAAGACTGGTTCAAGATTTATAAGATCCATTTCGACAGATAGCCAACATTTTCCGAATTCTTCAGATTATGAAAGTGTCATTGTTACTGGTGACAGACACGTGACAGAGGGAACCGTTCGCCCTAGCACATTGCTCACCCAACCTTACAATGACACGAACTCGAATATATACAATTTTAACAGCACAGTTTCAGACATTACAGATCAAATAAACACTAAATTTCAGTCAAACAGGTGGCTCTGTGTGTCTCGTCCGGATAAGACTGGCGGATTAATCATGATTCGATGCTTTTGTGACGAATTCTGCACACTGTTTAATGACTGCTGTTATGACTGTTTGAAAAGTGAACTTATCGCCAATGGTTCCAAACACACAAACGAAAACAACTTTACCACTTCGGACAGTGAAGCACCGGTTGACTGTCAACTCCCAAAGAGCAGCTGCGCAAAAGACATGAACTCAAACACGACCTCCCAGGGTCACAGCTTGTCCATTATGGAGACTGATATCCAGTGTGTAATCCAAAGCACACGGCCCAACGTAGGAGATCGTCGTTTCTGGATGGTTACTAAGTGCCCTTCACATTGGCCTGACGACAAGACGCGAGTGTCTTGCGAGTCTGGTAAGATGACTGATAGTAACGACATTCTACCCCCGGTCGAACTCCTCTCTGCAAATGTAACGCTTAAGAATCGGTTCTGCGCGCTTTGCCATGGCGTCAAAGATTATCAACCTTGGGACGTCATCCTTGCCTGCTTCTACACTAATCAAGATGGTTTTTTGGACGCTTTTACTTCGCGGGACGTCATCGCTCTCATGGCGCGTCGTCCTGACTGCTCTTTCATATTCCAGCCTCCTTTCAGTAGAGGTCGACCCTGTCACCTTGGCAACAGAGGCCACCGATTTAAGGGTGGGGTGTGGCATGGAAACTTGGCTTGCCGTAATAGAGAAACAAACCTTCTAGACCTGTGTTCCTCCTCACCTTCAACTATCGTAGAGTTGCGGCGCCAGGGTTCGACCGTCGGCTATGCGCAGAACATATATTGTGCGATTTGCATTGCTGCCTATACAGTAGACGGCAACTGCACAAAGAACCCCGGAACACGCATTTTCACATCGAGAGGTATGGGTAAGCGATTCCTTCTGTACCAGTACACTTTCCAGTAATTACACAGCTCCAACATGTGTTTTAATCTTTTTCATTCTTTTCCCCAAGTGCATTTCCTTACGTTAATTAATTGACAGGGCCAAGCGAAGTTTAGCTGATGCTCTTACGTAGTGACCAGGCTGTAAAGTTATAAATCTCTTAAACCTTTCGTGTATTCATAAGTAATGACAATGCATGGAAAAATAACATGACGGAACACATCGCATTTTTCACGAGTGAATGAACGGTTTTATTTGCCCACTTGTCTTTTCTAGAATATGCAAGAGTATACGTTCAAGTACGTTCTGGGTTTGTAGCTCTTCTGAACCCTTCGCTAGGAAATGTGAGTATTAAAAAATAATAATGATAATAATATATATATATATATATATATATATATATATATATATATATATATATATATATATATATATATATATCAGAACACATCACAAGTCATATCGTCAGCTAAGATCAAGGTTATTTGCACTTCTTATTACTATATAGAGATGAGGCTTATTCGAATCGACAGTTACGTCCGATGTGTTGTTTTTCTATTCCAAGAGTACCATAGTATCTTTTACCAACTCCACAGCAGACAACTCTCAGTCGAAAATTAGAAAAAAATAAAGTACTGTTTGTGATGAGATCAAATAACAGGCAATATTGGATTTAATGCCAGACAAATACATTTCTTTTTCCGCAGGTTGTCTGTTGCTTGAAAGAAATTATCATCTCCTGGTTTGAAGAAATTATTATAATATCTGGGTGTATAATACGGCTGACGAACTCTTTTACTGAAGGTTAGGCTAATATATTTTTTATGAATTATTCCAGATAAAGGAAGACTCGACGAGCGGAAGCGCTCCACGGACACCATTTCAGATGCTTTACAGCACTCTCCATGTCATAAATGTAAGCCTGGAGATCGGACGATCACTGATAACTATCGAAGAGAGTGCACCGATAGCCCCAATTGTATGCACAGCGTTCACACGTTGGTTTTTAAAGCAACGTGAGTTATTGCCAAACGTAACAGCTGCAGGGTGGACGTATATGCCGAAGCCATTGGAACAGTGCACGCCAGCCACTGAAGACAACTGCCAGCAAGGTGACAAGGTCAGCCAGGTCACCAATGACTTCTGTGGTAAGTGAAATAGTTTATTTTTACAGAAACTTATAACAAATTCTTCAAACCCCTCAATCAAGAGTGGCAAACCAGGGTTAATACCACTTTTGTGAGAAAAATGCTTTTATCGTTATTTTGATCGCATAACAAGGTATGAAATTATATGTCGTACGTTCTATATATTTGACGAGAACTCATTCACGCATTACTGCAAAAGTGTTAACAGACGTTTTCCTTTCAGTTTATCTTTTTATTTTATTTTTTTTTATATCTGACAGGTACCAAGATTGTTAAAAAAAATTCACCTCTATAACTATTCTAAAACAAATATTCCACATTGTCTAAAACTGATAAGCGTAAGGACATTAAACAGGTTGTAATAAATTACGGTTAAACAATCAACCTGAAGTATGTTGTTGCACGAAACCAGGATTATTTTCAAACTGCAGTTTTATCATTTTAAGGTACCACACCGGCTGTTCACTGCGAGAAAAACTCATTAATGATGAGCATGGACTTCCGCTTGAGTAAAGAATCCACCACCTACGCCGATGCATTGAAACAGTTTATTTCCCTGCGGATGGATCTGTGCACGTACTTTGCCAGGTCTTATTTCATGATCCCAGGTCAGATCAGCATTAGACCAACAGTTTTAGCTAAGGGAGAGAGAGAAATTGATCCGATGACAACTAGGGAAAATGAAGTCGAAGACGTCGATGGCTCGGTTTTTACTCCAAAGGGGATTCCAATGAATAATATGGCTGTAATGGAGTCTCTTTCGCTTCCTGATACCGTTTTCCTAATGGTGTCTTTAAAACTTGTAGGTTGCAGTATGTTGTGAAGAACTTGGGTGCAGACTAGATAAATTCAGAACTTCAAAGTAATTTTTGTCGGAGAGGAGAGGATAATAGATAGATATTTGCAGACATTAACTATTGTCATTTGACGAATAAAGGCGAGGTATAAAGCAAATATTATTTTGTGGTACTTTTCTTTAACTGAAAAAAGGGAGCGCCAGGCACATTAGCGCGCTTTTTTAATTATTCTGTCAGTTGAAGATTTGACAAAACAATATTCAGCGCGAATACGCAAGCTTCTTTAAACCCTTTCTCTGACTTTTTATATTTGCAAAACAAATTACAAGCGGTAATGCAATTGTGCGTATCATAGTCTTTTGTCGCTTAACTCTATGTCTCCGATAGGAACATACGTTGCTTTTAATCGAGTAAACACAATCACATGACGCCATGTGAAAGACCCTGGTAGGTGTCAACAATCCACCTGCTAAATAGAACCAAGTCGTATGTTTTTTGAAATTTTATAACATGCTAACAGTTATGGCATAAGCAAAGAGTGACAGGTTCTTAACGTAAGTGCCATAAATACTTCGAAACCATCTTTTTGCTTTCGACAATTCTTTATTGTGAAATATTATTTGGTTTATCCATAACGTGGGATTTTTAGGAAAAAGAAGGCGTGCTGCACTACTGTTGATCCTTTCAGGATGCTGCCTCGATACTTAATAAAATAACGGTATCCAAGAAATAATTTTTACCCCAAATACAAATTCATTAATACCCGAAGTCAAATAAAGATATCAAGTTTAACAGTATTCTTTATATGTCTCGACCTTGAAGTTAGATTTGGTGACGGTATCCCAAGAAATGAGACTCCCCTCGTCAGTATTGGCACAAATTGCCAAGCCGGGGATGTCGACTTTATCATGGTCCCAGACGTTGACGCCACCGACGAATCCCAGGAATGATGGATGTTTAGGAGGACAATCAGGTGTTGCCTCGTGATGGGTGTGTCCAACCACCCACTTACCACCTGGAATGATTTACAATTTTAACTAGATATGAAAAGAAACAAATTTGATATGTTAGACGAATCAGACGATTGTTTAGGGGTTGGATTTACATAATATTAAGTTACACAAATTCACAGAGGATTAGAAACTGCATTGGCCAGAGCTATGATCCTGTTTGACGGGTCCTACAGGTACAGTAGGTCAGGGTTAAGAATACATTAGATTAATGTGGTATATCTGTGCCCGGGACACAATTATAACTTGTGAAGTAAAAACAACAACGCAATTTGATAATATCCCTTGTCGAAAGTATTATTGTTTGACCATAAATTTCGGACACCTTGGTGCATAATTAAATATGCTGCTTCAAAATGAAGTTGTGAACAACATTGTGTTCTGGCAGCTTATATGGATACACCTGAAAAAAAATAATTGTATTTTATTTTCGTAACGTACAAACGTCGTGTCCTTACCTCCAGGTATACGTGAAATTTTAACAGGGCGTTTCAGCGCGTGGAGACCATCCCTGTAGATATTAATCTCTCTCTTGGCACCACTCCACACCACACACCAGTGGTGCCAGTTCCCATCGGCCGGTAGGGGTGCTTCAGCGCGAGATGACTCATCCAGAACGCTGTCGCCCTTCAAGACAACCGAGTAGCCCTGACCAACGGGGCTGTATCCAAGTTCAATACACTGGCGACAACTCTCTGAGCCGTAGGATAGAATGGGGCCGCTTGTGATGGTTTTGATCCATACGCAGGCTGTGAAGGCATTCAGATCGGGGGTGGTCGCCTGTAGATGTGACCAAGAGAAGGTGCTACTTGGTTCAGGGAAATTCAGAACCCAAGAGCCTTCTAAAAGTGAAAATGAGCATTGGCATAAGGTCAATAACAGAACAAAAAAAAGAAATATATATATATATATATATATATATATATATATATATATATATATATATATATATATATATATAATATAAGATATATATATATATATATATATATATATATATATGCAAATTAACACCGTCATAGATATCAAGATCGCCGTGAAGGGGACGAAGGTCCGCCGTTATGCATGTCCGCAGGAATAAGATGTCCCCCGTTACTTTTACACTGGCCTGAAAATTTGAATGATCGCTGTTGAATTGGTGACACCAGGCCCATCGTTTCTTAAATGCACGCTTTTCGTTACTGTGTCGCATGAACCACGTATAAAACTTTAAATAGTTATTTAGTTTTCAAATATCAGTGCTTTTATGCTTAGTCATGAGTAAATTATAGCTGTTCCTTCGAAGGCTTTGTCAATACGGATATATGTACATTTATGATGCATATTGTCTTTGCGTGCACGTATAAACACAATACCAGTATAGTCTTAGACGCTACATCTAACAGAGCAAATAAATGCGGGTTGCGACTTGGGGGACACAATAGTGATTACCCTGAAAATGAAGATACACTACCAATACAGCCAGCTACAATAAACTCTGTAACCATTTTAAGCTTCAAACCTGATAGTGTTTTTCAAGACGAAAAGGGAAATATTGCAGCCAATGTCTCTTAATTTTTTTCGTGGCAAAACTTAATGTGCATTCTGTTTTATGATGATTATTATTCACAATGCACTATGAATATATGATACATTTGCCCGGAACCTTGAAAATAATAGTTCTATAAGTCATTCTAAATACCTGTCCCTGGGATTGCTGCTCCGCCGCCAATACAATAAGACAAGGCCAACGCTGTTACCAGGAAATGTCCAAACATGGTGTCTCTCTCGATAAAGAGGGAGGGCCTACTAAAGGCTGACTCTAAACATATGCTTGTTTCTCCCATGATCTGAGGTCAAACTATGCGGGTCTCCCAGTTTGATGTTTCAAAACGAGACGTGGGTAAAAAGCGCATATTGCCTTTGTTATGCACGCGTCTTTTTGTAATTTTAAAGATACATTTGAAACGAGTGCAGCTTCCTATTGATGCATATAAACTACTTCTACTAGTCTTTATAAAGTCTCCATGCCAAGGGATAAACCGATTAGCCATAAAAAATCTTAAACCTGCACCTTCTTCAAATATTTGGTCGTAAATTTACCTACTTTTATACAGCTCAGAAAGTAAGCAGAAATAATCCGTTCAAATCTCATTTTTTCATTTAATATATAACGGTAGCATTTGGTTTTTCCTGAAATTTTACTATTTGCGACTGTTTGGTTGACATTTATGGCAATAATTTGACTGCATGAATAATTTAAATGCCTCTTTAAACTTCCATTGACTAATTTTATTTACCTTATAGTTCGCCCGCTTGAATGTTCAATGATTTTAAAAATGAAATAGCAATGCAGTAATATTTTAGCATGCATTCTGAGAACCCATTTTGATCATTCAGCTTTTCCAAAGAAAGACATAAATTAATCATTAACTTGATAAAAAACAATGAAATTAAAAACTGAGGTGAAGCATATAAAACATATACCAACACTAAATTCAGTACACCATGGACAAAAGAAACACCTCTAAAAGCAACATTTTTACGTAATTTTTGGGGCACATTTGGACGTTTTTAAGTAACTGTATTTGGTGTTTTTAAATATTATTATAAACCTTGGCATGAAGTGTTTCAACAAATGAACCTTTCTTAATCTTGAAACGTAATACCCTCCCACCGACCGGATTAAAACAAACGCACAAAACTTTTAAATGAGTCAAGTAACTGAAATTTTATCACTGCGTTAGAAGGAATAAAAAGGCAGATCAAAAAGTTAAAAACATCATAGTAGATCCCTTTAACAGTACAGTAACCAATGCACGTAAAAAGTTAAAATGATAACCAAAGGGAAAACTAAGAATGTGTTAGTTGTGAAAGTACATTCAGTTGAAAGTACATGACCCTGATTTCTTTGTGCTGATTGTAAAATTTCAATGGTCGTGGTTTGTTCTGGAGACCTTGCATGTTTGCCAAGGTTACTGTATAGATGAATTTCACAGAGCTTTCTTTAAACAACCGAGCAAATTAAAAAAAGTCACCAAATGAATAGATAATTTAATGGAAGCCAATTTCTGGTTTCATTTCTTAGGAAACAGTCTAAGGTCTACTGCGCTGTAACTGAATTGGATTTTCTGCTGTGTTTAAATGTTGATATGGAGTGGAGTACCAAGGTAAAGCATGTAAGAATGTCACCATGGTGATCAGGCACGCGCTGATATTGATGCTTAGCAAAAATCCCACATGGACAAAAAAGGATTTGACATGTGTCACAGGAAAACGTTTGTTTTGATGGGATACAAAAGACAATACTCAAAGATTCTGTTGTGTCCCGAGAGGCCATAATAATGAACCAACTTTTGCAGTAATTAACCGATGCAATCTGATGAATAAAAGACCATTGATGCAAAGTATGAAGAAAAGTTCGTGGTAACCTTCATTCACTGTGACGGCGGAAAATTTTGTTACGTATACACGTTCTCTTTGATTTTTTAATTTGTCGGTGGAAGCATTGAAAAATGGCAAAATCTATGGAATAGACAAGTCTTGTGCCTTTTAAAACTAATTGGTTCACAGTCCACAGTATAGAAGTATGATGAATTACAACATGCCGCTGACGGCTCAGATACAGGCAGGACCTGGGTTGCATTTAAACCTTAGACACACTTTCATGTTTTTCTTCCTAATCCTGATTCCGTTATATTCTTGTTTGCAATGAATGGCAAGCGGAAATGATGATATGGGTATCATTACCTCAAGGCTTCAACGCGACTTTTCGGTTTTTTCTGTCACTTGCCGCTTGAACAGGTGGGAATCAATCATGACGTCACGTGCAAAACAACTGTAGGTGTTAAAAGCTTCATATTAGTTTAGAAACAAACAAGACGTTTACGGAATTTTTATAAAATTCTGGTAGTTATGAAATTGTCAAAGATTGCCATAAACACCTCTAATCTATATTGTCGCTTTCAACATTTCTTTATTGCTAACATGATAATTATATGCCTAGATTAATTTTCAAAACAAGTAAGACGTGTTAATGGTTAAATGGTGATCCATAAAGGATTCTGCCTCGATATTGTATAAATTACGGTATCCAAGACTCATTTTAAATTAAATATAAATGGACATTGAAATACTCGATGTCACATTAGAGAAAACTCATTGAAAGCAGTAACATTTTAGCAATGTTGCTCATATGTCGCGACCTTGAAGTTGGTCTTGGTGACAGTATCCCAGGAAATGAGACTCCCCTCGTTAGTATTGGCACATATTGCCAGGCCGGGGATGTCGATGTTATCATGGTCCCAGACGTTGACGCCTCCGACGAATCCCACAAATGATGGATGTTTAGGAAGAGTATCAGGACTTGCCTCACATTGAGTGTGTCCAACAACCCATTTACCACCTGGAATTGTGTAATAGAATGAAACATAATTTAAATCAAGACTTTATTATTCACACCATTAAGTTTAAACAATTATGTTATGTAAAAATAACATATTCACAAAAGTGTAAAATACTGCATTCGTCAGCTCTAAGAACTCCGTTAAATACGGAATATTATTATTTTCACACCAGATTAGGTCATGTCAAATGATTGATATAGAATTTTTGAAAAAATTCTGGTCGATATTTTACAAATAAGAACTAGAACTTGGACACTTAAAGCAACTCCGTAAATTGCTTAGGCATTTCAATGAAGAAATGTATACGCCGTTAACAGTTTTAAAAGTTTTTAACATGCTGTGCCCTGGTTGCTCATATTGATATGCTGGAAAGATAAGATACTACAGCAAATAGAAATATATATTTCCATACTATCCAAATTATCATGCCATTTTACCTCCAGGTATACGTGAAACCTTAACACGTTGACTCAGCGCATGGAGACCATCCCTGTAGATATTAACCTCTCTCTTGGCACCACTCCACACCACACACCAGTGGTGCCAGTTCCCATCGGCCGGTACGTCACTGCCTTTCAAAACAACCGAGTAGCCGTGACCAACGGGGTCGTATCCAAGTTCAATACAATGGCGACAATTCTCTGAGCCATAGGATAGAATGGGGCCACTTGTGGTGTGGATGGTTTTGATCCATACGCAGGCTGTGAAGGCATTCAAATCCGGGGTATTTGTGTGCAGTAGTGACCATGATAGGGTGTTATCTGGCTCTGGGAAATGCAGAACTCGAGCACCATCTAAAATTTTAAAAGGAACACTGGTCTGTAGGGCATGATCACTGCAACAACAGCAGAACGAAGATAGTAAAGCCTAGGTCACACTGCACTAGCAACATCATAATCTGGCAGTCGGTTGCCATTACATTTTGAGATGAATGAGAAGCTTCAAAATATTTTGATAGGCAAACAGTCGCAAACCAGTTGCAACAAGGTTGCATTATAGTATCTCCAACTTCTTTAATACTACATTCAAGTTACAGGTTACCAGTCGAACACCGTTTGCCGAGTGCCAGACAACCTGTCAGCAACCACTTGATAATTGAAAACCGACTAAAATGTCGCAAAGATTCTGGTCCGTATTCCAAGATGTTCCTTAAAATAGGCCTAAGGTCAACTTTTATAAAGGCTTCCTTTGATGAAGTGTTCCTTGGTAAAGGAAGGCCTAACGAAATGGTATTCTAAGACCACACTTTAGCCTCTCCTTTGATAAGGAATTACTTTGAAAAAAGTCAGCCTTTAGGTAAGGGACACTGACATAAAGTAGCTCCTCATTGGTTAAGTAGGCCTTTGTGACACCCTCCTCGTTATAAAGGCCTCAGTAATGTATAATTGGGGTCAACTGGTCAACTTCAATCATGCAACGGTGCATATGGACATTATCACTGCATGTGGATGTTTTGATCTAAGCCAAATTTATTAATTTGTTAATTTATTAATTTATTAATAATAAATTAATTAATATAATTAAAAAAATGAAATCCATCAATAGCTGAAGCCATCTTTCGAGAAACGAAACCTTCCAAAGAAATAGTCATCGGTGAAGTCGTCTTCATTGGATTTAGGTAGGCGTGTTCTCATGCGTCTTGCATTCCTGTTGACATCATAAAGACGCACCAGTTGGTTTACATAGTCTCCCACGGAGCTGATTTTCACAAGAGAACTGTACAGAATGGCTGCTTAAGGAAGACTTAAAGTTACCCCAGACCAACCTTACATTTTAAGGACTCCTCAGCCGAGAATAAAGAAAATCTTGCTAAGGGTGATTGTTAAGTGATTCCTTTCCAGTGAGATAAAGAAAGGTCTTGGAATACAAATTTCGTATAAGGTCGACTTTAAGTCTCCCTTAACGCTAAAGGGAGATTCTGGAATACGGGCCCTGGTTTTAAGTACATTTATGTTTTCAACCTTTTTTATGACAACACTTCCGTTATGGCCGAGCACGCAATATCAGTTGTTCCATCGTGTCTCCACCCATATTCTCTCAATTCAAAATATATTTTACACACACAATTTACTCAACTTATTGCTCAGTACGTAGTCCTTTACATGGTGTACCACTTGTATATTAGGGACCTTAATTTTCATTTTTGGTATGGTCAGTAGGAAGGATGGACATTCACCCACGCGGACACACCTGCATACACACAGACACACAAACAACGAGAGGAACCAAAATAATAATAACAGTCTGCGACACTCCTCCTATCTTTTTATGCATTTTGCATTATGATATCTAAGAACGATGTCTATAATACAAAATATATTTTTCTCCCTCATATATGTCTACAATACCAGCATGTTGTTAAACAATATATC